CTTTAATAAAATGGAGTGACAGATGAAGCTCAAGTCCCCTTTGTCCCTCCTTCAGTCTTATTCTTACACTCAGTCCTATTCTCCCCCTTTCCAAGACACAAACAGTATGATGAATGTGTTAACTTTTCAGTTCATGTTTTAATACTCATACATATCTATAAATAATATATACTACTGCTTTGTCTTTTATGCAAAAATGCTTTATGATACTGCAACTTGTATTTTTCATTCAATATTCTGAGCTCTGTGGATATTTAGAGAACTGATTTATTTTCTATTTGTACAGAGTTTCACTGTCTGAATGTCACAATTTTTTACCCATTCTTTTAACCATTGCCCACTCACTGCTTTCAGTTCTGCGAATTGCCTGTGCATATCCTTTGCCCGTATTTTTACTGGGTCACCTGTTCTTCCATTTTTAGGATTTGTTTATATAATCTGTACATTGTTGACTACATTAGGTTGCAAATGCTTTCTCCTAGTGTGCCTAAATCTTTTAATTTTACTTATGCTGTCTTATACATAAATTTTTTATTGTGATGTAAATATAGCAATCTTTTCTTAGGTTATTTTGCTGTCTGTGTTTTAAGAAATCTTCTTCTACACTGAGGTTACAAAGATATTCCACATTTTCTTCCAAAAGGTTGTAGTTTCACTTTTTACATTTATATTTTTAATTTACACCGAATGTTAATTTTTTAAATGGTATATAGTAGTGATTACCTCAATTTTTCTTTTTTCCCAAATGGAAAAGTCAACTGTTCCCAAACACTGCTTTTGAAGGTCTCTGTATTAGTTTCCTAGGGCTGCTGTAACAAAGTACCACCAGCTGGATGGCTTAAAACAATGAAAACTTATTCTCTCTCAGTTCTGGGGGCTAGCCTGAAACTAGGGTGTCAGCAGGGCCATGCTCTGTCTGCAGGCTCTAAGGGAGGCTCTGTTCCTGGCCTTTCCCCTCGTTTGCGGTGGTGGCTGTGCATCCTTGGTGCAGGTTGGCTTAGGGCTGCATCGCTCCCCTCTCTGCCGGCGCATGGCCTTCCCCCCGGTGTGTCTGGTCCCTGCGTCTCTTCTTATAAAGTCATGCTGGCCTGAGAACCGACCCCACTGCAGAATGATCTCATCCTGTTACATCTGCAAACACCCTCCTTTCTAAGCAGGGTCACCGTCTGAGGTCCCAGCAGAGGCTTGAATTTGCGGGGGGCGGGGGGGGGGG